AATAAATCAAATAAATGAAAATTCAGAATCGGGGCGTTACATACTTGTTAAAGAAAAACTTAGATCCTTGAAAAATAATAAACAAAATATTGTTGCAAGATCAAGCGTCGAGGCAGAGTATAGGATCATGGCAATGGCAACATGCAAACTTATTTGGTCAAAACAGTTGCTCAAGAAACTTCAAATTGAAAAGCAAGAACCATGACACTTATTTGTGATAATCAAGATGCATTGCACATTACTTCAAATTCAGTCTTCTATGAAAGGATCAAACATATTGAGACAGATTGTCAATTTGTCAGAGAGAAGATCGAGTCAGGTGACATCGTCACAAGCTTTGTCAACTCTAATGACCAGTTGACATACATGTTTACAAAATCCTTACGAAACCCCATGATTAATTATATATGTAAGAAGCTTGGTGCATTTGATTTATATGCTCAAATTTGAGGGGGAGTGTTGATATTTGTAAATACAAGTTTTAAGAATTTGTATATATAATAGTTCTACATTGACTATATAATATAATTAGTTGTAATCTCTATGTATATATAATATAGTCTTAGTAGTACTTTTCAAAACACAATTTATTTAAATGTCTCTTAACTTCTTATATTTCAAAAATATAATTTTATTTATAAAATGTAATAATGAACTATTTTATTAACTCAAGATCGCCTTTTTTTATACAAAGTTAAATAATTGAATATTAAAGTAATTTTTTTTAGATTTGGTGTTTAGTCTATTTTTTTATTATCTTGGTCTATTTTTGATTATCTTAGTTTAGACTACACATTGTAATTTTTTATCCTTGTGATCTTATATAAGTCATATGATATTAAAATATGAAAAGTTCATGCGTATTTTTGTTGGTAATAAAATTTCTAATATTTAGTGATTAAAAAAGTATTTATTTGTCACATTAGTTAAAAAAATTGAGTACAATTAATTCAACTTATAACTTTCCAACATAAATTAAACTATATGTCAATAACATCGTCTAAATTGTGATGAATCATATAACAAAACAAATATATAAAATAATTTATTATTAAATATTAATGGTTCAAAATATTTAATAAAATGAATGGTTTACAATTTGATATAAAAGAAAACATGATAGAATACATAACAAATTTAAAAGGAAAAAACCAATATAAATAAACATATTTTTTTTTATAAAAAAAAGGCAACGATTATGATTTATATTAAGTATAAAAGTTATAAAATAATTTGAAGGTGGAGAACAATTATAATAAGTTGAGGGAAACAATCGAGAAAAAACAGTAACACGAAAAAAACGAATGATTTTGAAATACTGAAATTAAATTGAGGATATTTTAGTAAATATAATAATTTTTAAATATCAAAACTCATATTCCCTCTCCTCCCCTCCAAATCCCCCAAATTCGGAGGGAATCAAAAAGTGTGTTTTGGAGGGATTTTGCTCCCCTCCCCTCCCTTCCTAAGATTTGGACCAAACATATTTAATTAAAAATTTCCATCCCCTCCCCTCCCCTCAATCTACCCCGAACCAAACACACCCTAAGAGAAATAAAAAATGAAGATCTTCCAAATTGATAAAATCACTCCCAAACGTACAAGAACACACTGTCAAAACACTATTGACTCAAACATATCTCATTGTATATGTGTGTCTCTTTTTATCAGATGTAATGTATATATAAATTATTCAATTAACTCACGCTAAATTTTTTAATCTTAAACCAGTATTTTATCGATTCAGTAGTCTCTCCTTTATATGAATATTTATTTTACTGTTTAAAAAAAGTAAAGTCAATAGCAAGGTCTAATGCTTTTGCAGAAATACAAATCATAATGTTCAGTTGCGCCATTTGCAGTGTCTTCACTTCGAAAATGAATCCCGATACAAACATTGAACGCTGGAGAGAGGAAAAAATTTTAAAAACAATGTAAGCCTCAATGGTCATATAAATATGTTAAATAATATTAGAAACCATTAAAAGCAAAAAGTATACATTTAGTGAGCAACAAAAGAAATACGCAAATGATGAAACACCCCTAAGACCTAAGCCACACCCAAAAAATCGTAACCCCATTATTAGAACCATCAATTTAATTAGATAATAACCCATCAACTAAGTCAAAGCAAGCACATTAGTAAAAAAAACTGACACCAATCAGAAATATACTCCACAGAAGAAAATTTTACACAAACTAGAAGGCAAGACAACCAACACCTACTAAATAAAACTCAACCAAAACACCTCAAAACAAAAATGGTATAGCCAACCAACTAGAAACACACTAGCACTCACCCAATAAAAAACATGTATTAAGCGCCCCATGCACTTACAAAGGCCAACATTAATTTTAAAGAAATATAAGCCCGTATCCAAACTTTCCATTTGCCACAAAAACCCACATCATCCTAACATGAAGTCCCCAAAAACCTAATCTGCTGAGTCATCTGACTTTTCAAAGTCTATTTTGAAGATCAAACACATCTCCAATGATTTGTCAAAATCCATTATCCCATTGATAACTAGGACTCCATCCACCCACTGTCTCCCTTCAAGAAAACCTAATTGGGTCTTAGCGGTAACAGAAGGAATCACATTAGCCACTCTAGCTGCCAACCATTTATACAAAGAACCAAGTAGAGAAATCAGCCTGCAACCCTGCAAAGATTAAGGCGCCTTCACTTTCGGTATCAGCACCAAGAAATACGACATAATACTCTTAAGAATGGACTCATTACCATGGAACTAATCAAACACAATATTAGCTTCATCAGGCTAATGAATTTTTTGTTTTGAAGCCAATAATTATTAAATTTTGAATGGTCTTTGACCCCATTTTTCTACATCGTAATGAAGAATGAGAGAACTGTAGTTTGAGATGTCTCCCACGCGGACGAACTCGGCCACACGACTTCTCAGCCTTCGAACACTAAGATCCTATCCAACCTACTCGTTGAGCTCTCATTTGAACGGAACCAAGTAAATCGCCAACCAATGGTCAGAATGTCAATCAACTCTATTCCTTCAAAATTTTGTTAAATTTACAAATATTTCTAGAGAATGCAACCTACTCCGTCTAAATCATCCCCTTTCTCTCATCCAAGTCCGAAATGAGCTGAAGTCACCCACCATACACCATAAGTCGCCATCAAACCCTAATTTGGACATCAAAATATTCCTCCAGTGATTTTTCTTACCTTGCAGATCGCATTTTGCATAAGCATTAACCACAAAATATGAACGCTACTCCCGAACCCGATTCAAACATACTCCAATGAATGAATAAATAAGTGTTTCCATTTATGCATTTCAAATAGAGAAAGTACCAACAATATTACCCCCTAAAGTAAGGAATGCCCAACTAACCTTTAAACTCCCCAAATGTTGTGACAAAACAACTTTGAAATGACCTCCATCTTGTTCACTTACACTGACTAGAAATCAAGCCTTTCTTTAACCACTAAATTAGTAACCTTCCTCCTCATCATTTTATTCCCAACCCTATAACATTAAAAGAGCCTACTATCATGGATAACCTATTTTCAACTCCTTGCCCTCCTTTTCAACCTTTGATCTATATTACAAGGCCATCAATGGAGTACCCTTAGTTCATCTTCGGATAAATGAAAGATGTCAAGGCCCTTCTAACAAGAATTGTATAAACTTGTAACCTATATTGGGTTTGCGGGCCTTTAACAATGGTAACCGTTTCCAAAACTATTGATTTGTCATTAGGCATCAAGAATTCCACCCCGACTGATGATCCAGCGAAATGTTTCTATCTGCCAAAGATCCTTACTACATCACCTATAAGTCCTCCCTAGCCTCTACCTTAGAAACAGAGTAGCACCACTTCTAAATTTCTCATTTAAGCTCGTCCTTTTCTTTTCCTTTTAAAACTTGAACACAATTCACATCTAGTGAGTTTGCTAAAAAGCAAATAAGTCCATCATCTGACGACCGACAACTCCAAAATTTGTGCAACATTCCCTTTATTTTCTGAAAAGTCTTACCCTATCTTGCAGCCCTATTATGAAAACTTATAAATCTTTCTCAAAACAAACCCACTGGTATCTTTAACAGAGTTCCCTTTTTACACAGACCACCTTAGATGCTTCATCGGAGGAACCATATGAATACATTGATCTCTTATTAGGTGATATAAAAAACAACACTTTCCAAAAAAAAAAAACAAGGTTTTCTTCTAAAATGTTAACATTGAAGACTACACACAGCCATTATGTATATTTGGCGGTTCTTTATGTTTAAATAATGGCCGATTCACCCGCGATAATTTTCACTATTTAAAAAAAAAATTAATAAATAGACAACAAACATGATTTTGATAACTAACAGAAACTTATAGTTATCAGAAACTTTTAAATAGTACCCCTACTACAATTATCTCACACATGTATTTATATCATAATTAATCATACAAATTTATCATCTTTCTTTTATGGCGACAATTTAAAGTTTCAACAGTAAGGATAAAGAAAATCATATAACAACTAATGATTAGCAGAATGTACATTTTCAAATTTGGTCCTTATCAAAACCATTATCGTGATTCTTAGAATTACAGGTCTTAACAATTACAACACAAATCGAATTTCAAAAAGATTTTGGTACTACGGTTCATTATTGCAATTTCAGAGATAAAATTATTGAGTTATGATAACATTGCTATGATGTTTTGTTTCTCCAGCATAAAACATACTTTAAAGTAGAATAAAAAGATCGATACAAACACTAACTGAATTCTCAGTCAATTCAAGCAAAACTACTACTGATCAATCTGTGTCTCGAGTTTTGCACAACAAAACTGAAGCAAAACATAAACTAGTTCAAATCAGTATTCATAGGAATAATGACAGACCACATACCATCAGAGTGACAAATAAAATAAAATAACAATTTTAAAAACTAATCTTTAAGTTGGCCAAAGGCAACATACATAACATAAATACTTATTGTACTAAGAAACCTAACTAACTATGTTGGAGTACTTGGCAATGAAATTAGACTGTTGGTGTGAAGCATTACATGATCACCAACGAAAATGTTCTCATTCTTAATGCCCTCAATCTTTGTTAGTTTTCTAGTCTGGACACTGTAACTAAAATTCATGTTCCTTACGATGGCTTGAGGCCTCTTTTCTTTAAAGAAAATTTCAAAGATGATTTGATCATGAATCCAGCAATCAAATGAAATTTCAAAAATAGTAAGTTCATGACCAAAGGCAGCCACATAATCCAAATGTCCTACATCATGATAATGAAACCATTTTCCAGAATCAAAATCCAAAAGATAGATTTGAAATGTATCATGAATAACCCTTCTTTTAGTCACAATGCAAGAAAGCTGATTTCCCATCCATAAGAATCTCGGGAAGAACCTCCGAACATCCTCGACAGCACAATATATGGGCACAGGGGGGGGTGAAAATTTCCCAACAACAATTTCCTTGTCAACATCCACCAAAGTTATTCCATGCTCTTGAGTCATCCAGTAAAGATGATTACCTCCATCATAAAGTGTTTTCTCCCAAAATCGTAACCAGGAAAGGGAAGCTTTTTTCCTATCTATCTCTCTCCACGAGTTATCTATTCCAATTGTTAGGACATAGAAAACATAATAAAAAGCTCCTGAAACCTCTAGGACATCTATGAAGAAGATCTTGAATTTGGCTGTATGGGGAACACACACTAAAGTCATTTGACTATAAAAAAGTGAACAAGGTTTTTTTGGTTTTTGTGACAGGTGTAAAGGAGGAATTCTAAAGCAATACTTGGTGATGGGGTTGAAGAGAAAAGCTACTGCTTCATCAAGACTCTTGTCGTACTCAACAAGAACCAATATGCCATTACAAGTATCAATAACTCTTCCCGACTTTGTTCCCATATCACTCTTTTCAAATTCAAACTGACCATTCACATAGTCTTTAATACCCAAGAAATAAGTATGATAAAAACATTGAACCAAAAGACCAGGTTTAGAATGTCTTAGGCATGCTTGAGCAAATTGGGAGGTTTGAATAATAGTGGCCCAAGGTTTACAAACATACCTTGCAGAGTTAACAAGACATTTGAGAGGAAGCAAAGTAAGAATATGAAGCATCAAGTCTTGAGAGAGCAACACCTCTGAAATCACTTCACATCTCTCACTACTATTTGAGTTAGAGTTTGAATCATCGTTGCTGCACTTGTTTAATAATTTAAGTCTCTGGCTTCTAGTAACTACTCTTCCCATTATTACTAGGGATCCTCCTGCATGAATAATATTATATCAAAATGTCAGTAGATTTGAAAATCTGAACTGCAAAAATGCTCCCTCTTTCCCTTGGTCGTTTTCCTCCTAATCTGTAAAATTGAAAAAATAAAGACAAAACAATGTAAGCATGGAGGATTTGAAGTGATGTTTTAGTAGATCATTACCAGGTGATTTTGTTGAGATCTATTTGCTTGAGATTGATATGCACATGAACAGAAATCGAATCAAGAGTAACCAGATTGCAACAACAATTTACGGTTACCTTCCTTGATTTAGGAAGAGAAGAATGAAAGAATTTGAAGTTATCTTCGTTTGATTTGGAGAATTTTCTGTGGAAAGGGATATCTTCTGATGCCCTAGCCGCCGTCACGACCGCACTTTTGAATATGTTCTTGTTGCTGTTTACTACCAGTTTATAGCCACTTGTGGGTATTCAAACGGAGGCAATTCCTTGAATTTTCTAATGGAAGGATTCCACAATAAAACAAAAGAGTTACGAATATAAAGACAAAGGAAACCCTAGTCGAGTGACTATGCATGTGGATAGCTACACAAGTTTTAACTACATAACTTCATTTGCTTATAAAAAATATAGGTGATCCAAAATTAGACAAAAATGTTAAAGCTATATTTGTAAAACAATATAGTCATGTTGTGAATGTGACTCAATATTCATATTTTTTTTATTATGAGTATTGTTTTGTGCTGGCCATATTAAGTTAACTATTACGGAAAAAAATTATAATTTTTTTAAAACTTTTTTAATGCGTAAAGATTTTTTTTTAGGATCACGAAAGATCTCAACTGATTAATTGTATATTTAATGACTTTTTGTAATTTACTTTTAATCAATAGTGAGTTAGTCTTTTCCTCTCTATTATTTATAAAGAAGACGTCGAATTCAGGTACTCTGTTTTAAATTCAATTTTAATTCACTATCTCCTATATATATTAACTTGACTATTGGAGTACTAACCTTGTAGGTCAACAACTATCCACCACGTCTGAAGTTTTGATTCACCCTCACCACCGCTTTTCAGTCCATTTTTTGTTCTTAAACAGAACAGTTGTGTCGTCTATGGGAATCAAATTATGATTCCTACGATTTCTACTATTTCACGTCAGCTCTTCAATTCATCGGTTCACAACCTCTTTAGGTCACCAAATCAAAAGCATTCATAATCAAACATGAAGATTCATCACATTTTGATTCAATCAAGCATCATCTCGATTTTGATTCCTATAAGTTATAGATCTGTAATTCCTACGACTCTAAGTAATGGCTTGATCTAAAGCCACTTAATCCAAAATCCATGGAGAAGTCGCCCAAGTTGGGCGAATATGATGGGAAATGAGACCCTAACGAGCATGCGCATCTCGTCAACTACCGGCTAAATTACTTCAACATCGATGATGCATCCACGTACAACTTATTTGCATTACCTTTGAACAAATCGGCCAGGTTGTGATTCTGCGGCTTATTGTAAGGTATGGAGCCACGACGGTCTTTCTACTGTCATAGATGATCTCTATCAGTTCGAGCTTGGGCACATTGGGAATCCTTCTACTGTCAAAAGGAACTTTTATGCATTCATGTTCATTAAACTAGGGAATAATGGTATAAACATCCTCATCAACTTCATCATTAATGAGTTCTCTTTCATGGAGGACTATGATGGTTCTTCGTTCTAACAACCCTTGGATCTCATTTTGGATGAGAAGACAACCACATCGGCTTCTACGCCACTTTCTACATGCTATATGATGTGATGATTGGGACCAAAGTAATCAAGTTTGCACAAGCATTTTTGAAATTTGACTAGTGACTCCCTGATATATTCGATATCATAAACTGCATACTCTCCTAGATAACCTTATACCATATTGATTGGTTAGTATGGTCTCGTTATTAACTCCTAGATCCAACTTTGGTTCATTTGTTCTTGCAGGGCTGCTTGTACAACATAGCATCCTTGATTGTTTACAAAACAAATTATGCATGTTGCATAATCATGGGGATCAACAAGACCCCGTCTGATATATCCTTCATGCATTTTTACCAAGTTCATCCTTAATAAGTGAACGTCATAGATCTTATAACTGCCCGGGCATCCATAGACCATGTTGACTAAAGCCCTTTCATGTTGAGGTAGTGGGTTTACTTGAACATTTAGATTAATGTCCTTGAAGGACAAAAATCCATTTTTGATAAGCCTTTGAACATCAGCCTTGAAACTAAAGCATTTCTCGATCCCATGATCGAGTGCTCCTTGATGATAAGGGAAAAAATGGCCAACCACGTCTGTCGAAGTCCTCGTGATCATTTATTCTTCATTTTGACTTGACTAAAGTCATTATCACATGTCATACTTATTCTAGTGTCAAAATTTTGAGATAACAGCCATGCACAAAATTTGTAGCTTCTTATCTGAAAACTTTCAACCAAAATCAATTCTAATAAACTCTTACAATTATCACAATCCTCACACAATCACTCAATTCTCTTTCAATTCTAACAATCTCACACACTCGCCAATTCCTAACCCTAATCCTTATAAGAACAAGATTTGGTTGTGCATCTAACCTAATATTTTGATGATAACAATGCATTGATTCATAGAGAACAATTATGTACCCTAATAGTTTTGTTAAGTGTGCAGACACTAGATATAAGTTTTGACTCTGAAAAAGTGACATGTGATATCATCAATTTTTGAATCTAATGCACCTTGACTCTGAGAAATGTGTTTTACAAGATGATTAAGCTCTAAACTACTCTACTCAACACTTCTGAACTTTACTCATCCAAAACTTTATGACTTTGATAAGCCTTTGACGTTGTCAAGCTCTAAAGTCTTGCGCTCAACAACTCTGATGAACTGTGTCATCAAACTCTGAAGATCAGGTTCTGGTGAAGTGGATCAAGATTCTGAAGATCAAGTTTCTGAAGACTCTCTGATACAGACTCTGAACATTCTTCTATGCACGCTTCATCAACTCTCTATCTAAAATCCTTGAATATTTGAAGATAAGATTAAAAAAAATTACGTGGGAAATAATACACAATAAGAGATCAAATATTATTTTCACTACACTGATATTGTGAGAAAAGAATTGTACTATTATACCATTGTGTCTCCCATTTTCATATACCGTAATGCAATGATACAACTACATTTGTGGATTTCAAATCTACCTTTTAGATACATTGAATAATCAATGTATTTGGTTCACATATATTCTAGATACATTGATTATTTAATATATTTAAAAAATAAATTATTTCTTATAAATAGGATTTGTGGAGTATTAATTTAAATTATTGACATTTCACTCTCCTATAGGTTTGCTCATATATAAACAAGCCAAATGGACATTATCTTTTGCCAAATGACCGATTGGCTATTAAGTGTGTGGCAATATCCGGTACACGTCAATGTTTAACACTTGTGACACATGTATGACACATGCTAGAAAAGTCAAAGAAGTGTCTGAAAAGTCAAAGAAGTGTCTGAGAAGTAAAAGAAGTGTCTGAAAAGTCAAACAAGTATTCATTAAAAAATAGTTTTTTTTTATTTCGACTCTCTTCGAATCAAAGATTGACATTACGTACGACACTGATAATGTATATGCGAGATAATTCAGTCAAGTGTTTCAAACAAAAACTTATTTTTTCTTTGTTTTAACACTTTTATACATATTTTAGCCAAATGTCACACAAATTTAAAATTGTTAAACGTATATTTAAATAATGTTATCAATAAAGAAATAGAAACATTAATTTTGATTAGATTATTTTCAACCTTTTTAATCATAAATGGATAAATAAAGCTGATACATTATTTTATATATAATGGTGTCGGTGTCCTATGTTTTAACATTATCGATATCGAAGTATCTATGTCGTATTGTGTCTTGATGTGTCTGTCAAAGTTCGTGCTTGATAGGATACCATGATCAATAACACAAATAAATTATTTAGGATAACCATTAGCAAGCAAACATTATCAATAACACAAATACTATCAATAACCATTAACAAGAAAACATTATCAATAACACAAATACTAAACAAGAAGTTCTTGTAGAGTACTACAGATACTTAGGATGCTAACACCTTCCTTGGGTATAGCCAACCCCCGAACCCCACAATCTCTTAGGTTCGTTGTTACGTAGCGCACTTAGGGTTTTCTTCGATCTTTACCCTTACTTTGGATAAATCAAAGTTCGGTGGTGAATTTCATAGATTTTTTTATTCAAGTTAATTAATAGCTTGATATCCGATTCTCACCGTAATATTAGGGCATGACAATTTTTGGTATTTTTAGTGTGATTTTTGAGTGTGTTCTGATGCACACGTGAACAACTTTAAAGGGAGTATATTGTGGGAGTTTTTGTTATTGCAGATTCTATTATTTTCATAAAAAGGATCCTTGAGCCTTTTTAGGAAAGTTTTTATTTTTCTCCTATTATTATGCAAGTTGGTTTGCAGCCAGTTTATACTAATTGTTTCTATTTATGCGCCTCAAGAAGCCCAAGTCCAGTAGGTCTGAAGACTATTTAAAGAGAAGAAAAACCCTATTAGAATAAGAGATCATATCATGAAGAATTTAGAGAATAAGGATTAGTCGTTGTATTGGTTGGTCCCTAGGGTTTTCGTTTGTTAATTGTATGTCACTCATGTATCTTCTGATGCATTGAGTTTAACTGATTGTTCATTGTTCACTCTAAGCTTTTAAGCAAATAATATATTTTTCTTGATCGAAAATTTTAAGCAATATCAAGTATTGTTTTGGAAGTGGGATATTCTATTGTTTGTTTTGTATACATTCATTAGGATTGAGATTGTTTGATATCACCGAGGTGATTTAGGAAGTGAGAGGGGGTTCTCATATATAGATGGTGATTTCTAGATAGAAGTTGAACTGGGTAGGGATTAATTGAGGAGTTGTAAATTGATATTGTTTAGCTTCGAATTA